GAGTCCCAGACCTGGCGGCTTGCTTTCTCACTTTCCCTCTTTCTCACTCTGTTCCTCTCTGGTCAAATTAAAATAAAATAAACAAATAAAGATAAAATAATTCTTTTAAAAAATCCTATTGAGAATATTGTCTCTCTTGCTCACAGAAGAAATATCTATTTTTTTAAAAAAAGAGATCCCTAAGTTTATTTAAGGTATATCTACCCATAAAATTGAACATTTAGAAAAGCTGATGGCAAAAAAAGTTTGAAATAAAATGATTTTTAACAGGGGAAGGCAGGTGGTGTGGTGGTTAAGGGTGCTGGACTCCCACATGGCCAACCATGGTTTGAGCCGCAGACCTAGTGGCTTGCTTTCTCACTTTCTCTCTCTCTCACTCTATCCCTCTTTGGTCAAATCAAATAAATAAATAAATAAAAATAATCCTTAAAAAATGATTAATAATAGTAAATAAAAGAGAAACTAGTTAGGACGTACTCTTACTGTACAGAAACATTCTGATTGCCTCCCAAGTTGCAATTAGAGATATGCCAAAAAGGGCTGTGTAAAAATAAATGCTGTAGGATAGGCTCTAGTATTTTAAATTGCGTAGTTTATATATATTTAGGTACTAATATGCAAATTTGGGCTCAAACTCAGTTTAAGGCAAGACCAACAAAACTGTTGGGTTTTTCTCCCCTGAAAAATGAGATTTCCTATTAATAGATTGACTCCAAGGTCCCTCCCAACTCCAAATCTTGAGTGTGTGAATCCCACTGCTTCACATAGCTGTGTGCGTTTTTCCCCAGGTAAATGACCTTCTCTGAACTGTTGGGCAGACTGTCCTAGCTCATTGTCCCTAGTTCACTGCTGCTGTAATCATGGCACCAGCTGCAGCTGTGTTTTCTTTGAAGTTTCAGAAATGAACCAGCCTTGTAATTTTGGAAAATCACATGTTTTCTTTATTGTAATTCTGGTGAGGCCAAAGAGATGGGAGGGAGCGGAGGGGCATTTAAACTCTGTAGCTCTTAATACTCCAAATCAAAAAGTGTTTTAACTCACCTACACGGCACTTCTGAGACTGCCTGTTTTAGTGCTTGAGACAGAAAAGGCCTAAGTAGGGAGTCTGACCGAGCACCAAAAAAAGGTTGTCATAAAATTCATGTTTTATTATTCCCTCTTCCTAACCCTGATAATTGCAAATGCTTATAATCTTTTATCCTTTTTGAATATTCTATCAAAAGGCTACTGAAGTATTAGAAAAATCATGACATATTTTTCTTTTTTAATAGTTTATTTTAATAGCAAACTCACAGGAACAGCACAGAAGACAGACAACATTAAAAACATGTGCTTGCACGTAGGACAACTCAGAAAAGTATAGTGAATGGATGGAATCTACTGTAGGATAAATATGCTGCAAACATCAGTTGGCATAATAAGAAACTTATTTTTAAAAAAATTCAAATGCTAGCATTGTCCAGAAAAATTTAATACATTTATTTATAATTGTTATAAAATTGAACTACTGAAACTTGTTCATCGAAACATTTTGACTTCCATTAATACTTTACATCCTGCATTTATATTAAAAATCCACACACAAATGAAGATGGAAAACCTGCCAATACCTGATATCTGTCCCCTATTTTCCACTCATAATCATATACTTAGGTACCTTTTGACCTCATTCAGAACTACCAATAACAGAAAGAAGAAAAAAATTCTTTTAGAATATTATTTTAAAACTTTATTTATATTTATTTATTTTAATTTGACCAGAAAGGTACAGAGAGAGAGAGAGAGAGAGAAAGAGAGAGAGCAAGCTGCCAGGCGCAGGAGTCGCGAGAGAGAAAGTGAGAAAGCAAGCTGCCAGGTTCAGGACTCGAACCGCGGTTGGCCATGTAGGAGTCCAGTGCCCTTAACCACCATGCCACCTGCCGGCCCCCAATTTTTTGGTTTGAGAATGAAATGTTTCCAGTCATAGTGGATTCTTAAGTAAGTTCTCCACGTATGTGGCACGCTAGCTGGATGTCTTTTGGCATAATTGTTACTCGTTTAGCATGGATAGCAAACAGATGTCTTAGAAAGGCCAACCAAAACAGGCCTCACTTGCACCAATAGCTGTGTTCAGGGAAGCGCAGATCTGTTTGCAAGTTCTGAGCAATTTCTTGCATAAGAAGCTGGAAAGAAGTTTCCCAGTCAGTTCAGTGGACTTCTGATGACATCTAATTTCACCAAGTGCCACAGTACTGGGCCTAGAAGGATGAGGTCTCTTCGCCCCTCCAGAAGAGGTGCACTCTGGGGATCGGCTTTTGTAGCCAGTTGCTTCCTGGGTGCTTTACCTGCTGTGTATTTGTGGGCTGTCTGCTCTCTACTAGCCATGCTAATAGAGACCTCCTCACTTACCCCCTTCTTCCCCAAGAGCTCGGTGAGCTTAGAGGCAGCACGTTAGTGAGTGATGTGCATGGCCACAGCTGTGAACACCCATGACTTACATCTTTCTATGCAAAGATGTGTCATGACTTTTCCACTAAATATGTAGGTAGAGACTCAAACCCCCTCAAATATGAATATTCTCCCACAGTAGTTCAATTCTAAAGGCAATTACACTTTTTAAAAAGAATTAATTTTATTAGTTGCTATTTTTAAAATTCAAGGAGACAGAAAGAGAGAAAAAGCAAGAAACTAGGCCACCAGATCCAGGAGTGGAACTGTGGTCCGATGTGAGAGTCCAGCGCCCCAACCACCATGCCACCAGCCGCCCCACAATTACACTTAAAGTGATTTTATGTAAGTACATATAGTGCATTTATTACTAATGGAAAGATACTTCCTGCTTGACAGGAAGCTAGATAGCTGTCAGGATGACTCCAATGTTTAAACAGAAAATTTTTGTACGCTATAATAAAGTCGAGAGAAATAATCCACATGAAACAGTGGGCATCTCTGGATACTGCCGGAATCCACGCTGTATAAGCAACTTTTAGGGCGCTGCACTGAAGACATCAGAGATTGACACAGGCTCACTCTTATGGCCCTAGTTTCTGCTTTATGTTCTTCTGGTGAATAATTTTCTGTAACCTACTGAATAAAAGCCCGAGTCCCCAACTTACCCCTACAGTGTACCTAGCCCATTGCTGACTCAGCACAACAGTGACTAAAATGCTTCTTCAGCGCAGTCCAGAGAGGGAAGCTTAACAGAACCGAGTACGTCTTGAAACACGGCTGATAAATTCCTTTTTTTTTTTTTTAAATTTAAAAAATAAAAGGAAAAGGGCTGGTGACCTGTAGGTTAGGCAGGTGAAGCAGGAACTCGGGGAAGTCAGGAATTCTGTGAACAGCCATCTCTACGTAATAATCTCCTAGAGCGGGAGGTGGGGGACCGGGAGGGCGCGGGAGGAAAGGAAGCAGCGCCGGTTCCCACGGTCCGCAGCGTCCCAGGTTCTCGATCGGTTCCGAGCACAGAACCGGCCCCAGAGCCCGGCGGCCGAGGCTTCAGTGCGCGTAATCTCTGGCGGCCCAGCTCGCCGCGGCCGCGCCCGCCCTCTGCCGTGCTGCGCCCCGGGGCAGGCGGCGCCTTCTCCGAGCCCCGAACCGCGCGGGCGCAAGCGAAGGGACCGCGCTTTGAAGTCTAGGACCGACGTGGCCCT